AAAGAAAGAATCACAGCTTCAAATGATCTGTATGGCTCAGAATCAACTCGAGGGCAATGGTGGTGGTTTTTACTGGGTGCACCTCACTAGGTTAAGTAGCTTAATGGAAGTTTTGTGAAACGAATTTACAAAGGCAATAAGATACTAAAATGCTATTAAACACGTGTGGTGATAAGAGTTACTACGTATTTGACCTTTTACTTTGGTTCTTTGGGAAACAGCTTGAGGAGTTACAGTTGCCCTACTTTCCTAACCCAGAGACCTTGATATTTTTGTCTAGGTTGATTGTCATTTCCTGGGTAAATTGTAAACAACTTAGTTTGATACTTTTTGTCGCAGTCTGTGTTTGAAGCCTGCCCTGTAGTTGGCATACACCTTGCAGAGACGGATCAATAGACTAGGCAGTTAGATCCCTTGCAGCCTACTATGCAAATGTGACCCCTGTTGGGTAGGGCCATACCTTAAAATTTATAAGGAGGTACGTGTGTGGTTAATAGTGTACCTGTTCATATTTGCATAGGTTTTTTCCAAACAAGACATGTTTCTACATGTCTAGGCAAGCAGTGGATGGCTCCAGACAATTCTCTCAGTAACAAACACATATGTCTTAGTCTCATTAGGTGGCTCAATTGTTTTTTTAAGGTTCGTTTAAAACAGAAACTTTCAAAGAGATCTGGTGGACCAGTTCAATTCAAGGCAGAGAGGTCAATTTAGCAGGTTATGACACCTGATTTGGGGGGGGTCCCCAAAGGGTAATCTTGACAGAGTTCCTCTAAGTTTATAGGACAATCATGGGCCCTTATTAGCAGGAAGTTTTAAGAAAATTAAAAACTTCCTTGGTGAGTAAAAGGCCAGGAAAGTTGCACTGAGAGGTTTGGCTCTATCGTGACAGTGCACCTGCTCATCCTTTGAGGGTAACAAAGGCTGTCCTGTGAGAGTCTCATTAGGAGACCTTGCCATGTCACTTGTGGCTGACCTCAGAAAGCAGAGCATAACAGACAGATGTTTACTTGTGTATTATTGACGGTGCAAAGGCGTTCAACTGTGTGGACCATGACAAAGTATGGATAGCCTTGAGATGATTGGGAATTCCAGAGCTCTTTATTATGCTCATGTGGAACCTGTACATGGATCCGGAGGCAGTTGGGCAAACAGAACAAGGGGATGCTGTCTAGTTTAAAACAGGAAGTGTGTTTGTCAGGGTTGTATCCTCTCATCACTCTTAGTCAATCTGCCTGCTGAGCAAATCAACAGAAAAGCTGAATTAGATGAAGAAAAATGTGGCATTAGGATTGGAGCAAGGCTTATTTACAATCTGCAATATGCAGATGAGACAACCTTGCTTGCTGAAAGTGAAGAGGACTAGAAGTACTTGCTGCAAGAATTGCAGCTTTCAGTATGGGTTACAATTCAATGTAAAGAAGCCAGAATCCCCACAACTGGACGATTAGGTAGTGTCATGGTAAAGGGAGAGAAGATTGAAATTGTCAAGGGTTTCATCTTGCTTGGATCCACAACCAATGTTCATAGAAGCAGCAGGCAAGAGATCAAATTACATATTGCATTAGGTAAATCTGTAGCACAAGACCTCTTTAAAGTGTTGAAAAGCACGGATGTTATTTTGAGGACTAAGGTGTCCCTGACTCACAGTATGGCATTTTTAATCGCCTCATATGCATGTGAAAGTTGAACATTGAATAAGGAAGACTGAAGAAAAATCAATGCGTTTGAATCATGGTGCTGGGGAAGAATACTGAAAGTACCATGGACTGCTGAAAACAAGCAGCTCTGTCTTGAAAGCAGTACAGCCTGAACGCTCCTTAAAAGTAAGGATGGTGAGACTTTGTCTCAGGTACTTTGCACATGTTATCAGGAGAGACCAGTTGTGTTAGTCCGGGTAGACAAGAGAAACAAATTCATAGACACTCATATGTATATAAGAAAGGGGTTTATATATGAGAGCAATTGAATATTGAGAAAACATCCCAGCCCAGGCCAGATCAAGTCCATTAGTCCAATATTAGCCCATATGTCCAATACCAATACCAATCTATAAAGTCCTCTTCAGACTCATGAAACACATGCAATGACGCCGCATGCAGGAAG